TTCGCTCACCTGGGACGGAAGTCCATGGCGGCAGGTTGTCCTTAAAGCTTAAACGGACCGCCGGAGCCAGGCAAAACCATCAGAGTTACAGTATGCTAAATGTCGACTCATATTAAGAAGAATACCCCCCCAAAATCCAGAGAATGTCAAGTTCAAATGGGAGGGTTTGCAGTTTCAAAGAGCATCAAGAGTCTACCCATTCATTGGTTGATGAGCCCAATTTCGCTTTTGGTGCATCATGCTAAGTATTTTTGTGAGCAAGGGTGGCGGAATGAGTTTTGGTTGGGAGAGACTCGCTCATGCTTCCAGGTGCCACCCGTTTGCAACTTCAAGGCTTCCTAAACTTCCTGCTAAGAAGGTGGGAGACTGAGAGGTCTCCCTGGTCGTCCCTCTTCGGAAACGCATCTCTTCTTGCCTTCCCCCGTCTTGATTTTTGGAACACCCTTCAGTTTGAAGCACGGGGTCACATGGTGCAAAGCCTCAATCAACCTTAGCTGAGCTCACTTGCTTGTGCCCTCCTCCTCCAACTGCTCCAAACCCCACCAGTCTGGGCGTTTCACACCCCAAGGCGCTGTGGCGAAGTTCCAGCTGCGCCTCTACAACGCTGCGGTGCAGGACTATGACCGTGCCATCCGGCAGAGCTGGCAGGACTCGAAGAGCTCATGTTCGGCGGTGGTCTTTTTCAACCGCGGCCTGGCGGAGGCTCGCCGGGGCCAATACGAAGCAGCCACCCGGCCAAGCGGTGGGTTTGAAGCAACATCGAAAGGAGGGTGATTGGATGGAAAACACATGCTGAACGGGGCCATGGGGGGTTGATAAACCAGCCACATTAAACCAGCCACATTTGGGTGGTGCTGGTTCGTCTCTTGCTTTTGAGCTTTGTGGGCGTGGGAATGTGTGGGAATTGGCGATGAATATGCTGATCGGAGAGGGGCCAAGCCAAGGCCATCAGAGACTATGGGCAAGCGATTGAGCTGGACCCCAACGCTGGAATAGCTTTCCATGGCAGGGCTTCAGCCAAGCTCCTTGGAGGGACAACGCATGACAACGCAGTCGCCCTGGGCACTGGGAGCAGAACAGAGACTAGACTAGACCAAAACCATTGTTTCAGGGTCCAGGTTGACCCAAGAACTCCCAAGACTAGATGTACAGCAAAGACCTCCGAAAGGCAGACACACCGGCCATCGCTTGATTAAGCGATAGAAAGTTCCTCCTTTAAACAAATGCCTTTATACAACTCCAGCTGGAAACCCCTGCTGCCGGTAAATCTGTGTGTTTTGTTCTGGGAAGACCACCAAATCCCAACAACATCCATAACAATCTCTCCCCCTAAAAGGCCTCCACAAACAGCACCCACATGTTCGACACGAAACAGGCACCGCCCGTCCCTCGCCCCTCCAAATGCCGTCCGGCCCTAAAATCCCCACTCTCCTTCAGGTTCAAGCTGGGCCACTACGAAGGCGCCCTGGAGGACTACGCCCGCGCCATCGAGTTGAACCCCTCGGCGAAGGCCTACTATGACCGGGCCTCCTGCAAGTTCCGCCTGGGCGGCTTGACGGCGCCGAGGTGCCAGGAGACCAGAGCCCACGAAATCGGCCGTTTCCATGGCGATCCAAACAGAAGTTCAACCAAAAGACATCTCAAAAGACATCTTTTGCCCCCCCAAAAGGGCTAAGCAGATGCATTTCGGGGAACTGGAAGCTCAGGGTATCTACACTGTTTCTGTCAGCCGCAGGGAGGTTGTGACGCCATTCGCGCGCTTCGGGCGCTTCGTTGGGTCACTCTGTGCAGACACTCCATAAAGCTGGAACACATGCCTAGACTGACCCCTGGAACCTATACCAGCACCCCACAACAAAGGTCTCCGTTTCCGGTGGCTGAAATGGAGACTTCACAGTGGCAGGTGGTTTTTCTGTGAAGTCGGAGTATCTGTACATTAAAATACTATTACTGTATTACTATTATTAATATTAATTTTTTTGTTATGCATGGAGTGTTTGAGTCACTGCTTGGATTGCTTCCTTCCGCCTCTCTAAGAGGCGGTAAGGAGGTGGGCTGCGGTTTTCGAGGTCTCGGTTCGCTTGGCGTTCGCTTGACGACCGGGGTTCTTCTTGTTGAGTGCTTTTTACTACCGGACCATCCGAATGGGTGCCCAATGGAAGCGGCCCGGTGTTTGGTTGGGGACTCTGGATGGTGCAGGTAGGGTCCAGGTATGTTTTGTTCCCCTTTCGGCGCCTGGCTGAGGCTTGTATGAAGAGGCCCTTGAAGACTATGACCAGTCGATTGAGCATGACGGGAGCTATGCAGGTGGATCATGTATACAAAATCGGCTGGATGGAGGTTTGGGTTTCTAATGGTTTAGCAGCTTTATGTCCTTTATGTGCTCTCTGCAGCCATCGGCAGTTGACAGAAATCGCCAGATCCTCATGAACAGCGGAATTGATTTCCCCATTCCCAGCAAGTTTGCAAGCTGTTTCCTAAAGAGGACCGGACAGTCAAGCCTTTTGAAGGGAACCGTGGACACCCGGCTTCATCCGCGTTACGGCGTAACCCGCGTCGAGATGTCAGGTGCCTTTTGCAACCGTGCTTTGGCGAAGCGAAAGCTGGGACGGCACCAAGAAGCTCTTGCAGATTGGAAGAAGACAGTGGAATTGGATCCTCACACCAATTCTGCAATGCAGAACCTCTTCCAGGTGGGGAAGGTCGAGTCTTCTTATCCCAGGGCATCTCTTGGTCCAGCTTCACGAGTTGAGCCCGTGGAGTCCGTGGGTGTTCGGCTTCGGGGTGAACGTTCCCCAGATGGTCGCCAAAGGGTCTACTCTCTGCGCCGCCATCCAGAGAGGTGAGGAACCACTACAGTAAGAAGAAATCCGATGTTTTTGCTCTGGCACCTTCACAAAACACTTCTCTATTATATCCCGAATAGCTGATCTTCTGCACATGGACCAGTGGGGTGTCGAAAGCATTCTTGCATTGGACAATTGTTTGAGGTTCATGCTGGTATTACAGTAAGGGTTTCAGCTGGCACAGCTTCAGACCTACTGTGCAATTGACATGATTTCCGCGTCCTAGACTCAACTCGCGACCAGGGGACCTAAACCTATGCCCATACGATATATTAGACTCTTATGTCAAGTCAGTCTACTTTCCCTGAAAACATCTAAAACCAAAACGCCCCATGTCTGCCCCATCATTCTTCAGGTTCTTGTTTGTTCTTTAAACGCCCTTGGTGGCCTCGTCAGCTTCTAAGACTTGAACGGCCGGACTACAAGGGCTCAAAACCTTCGCCACCTTGATCTAAAGAGCTTAACAGAACCAGCTTGCTATGTCCGGGCGGAACTTCGCATTCTCACCCCTGTTAGGTCAAGTGGTCCAGTCCCAGTCCCTGCTCCTGCGAGGCGCCGGCCGACGCTGCCAGAGGCGCAGAGCGCGTCACAGGAAGGAGCGTCACACGAAGCGCCTCTTTTTTGGTCTGAGGGTCTGAGATGTCACGAGGGTGAAGCGTCCCTCGCGCCTCGTGAGGGTCTGAGATGTCACGAGATGTCAGGCGCGTCAAGGGAGAAATCCTGAACTGTCGTGAGAGAGTGGACCTGCCACGAGTCTGGTGCCACGAGTCTGCGAACGTAACGGTGTTGATCCCAAAACGCGGGTGACGAATTGGTCCCTAGACGAGCCGGCAGCCCCCACGCTCGGCGCGGGGCTGCAGAAGAAATGGCACATGCTTGGCTAAAGATGCCGAGTTTTCCAGGTTTGCCAATGTGTGGAGATTCTTTTAACACCATGGACGCACACCATACGACACCATAGACCTCCAATCTCCACCAGATTGGGAGATCCAAAAAGGGCTGGCTCGGCCACTCACTATTTAGCAAAAGTGCAACTCATTCAGCCGATATACATATAGACATATCTCCTCAGATTGGTAGGTGTGTGGGTCGCAGACTCGAGATTCTCAAGCTTTCAGAGGCCATTCCGTGTGATGATTCACTCACAATTGGTCAGTTTGTTTTTGCCTTTGTCTTACGAGGGGCACCCACGACACAGACCCCCCTGCTGACGGAGCACGGACCGAGCAGGGGCCCACAGGGGCCGACAGGGGCCCGCTGGAGCGAGCCTGTTTAACGCCGCTCGATTAGGAGCGAATAGAGCACAGCAGCTGAGAAAAAAATGTGAATTGCCCTCCTGCCATCTTTGTGCAGATTAACATGGACTCTCAAAACCACTCGCTTGTAGAGGAGAATTGTCTTCCACTGGGTGCTTCTCAGGGCCCATGTCAGTCTGCGGGGGGATAAATCGGGGGTTCACTTGGCCGGACATGCCTAACCACGTAAGTGAATCTCCAGCCAGGACATCCTGAGAGGAAGGTCCAGGGATGTTGTGGTACGGAAGCAGGGCACCATTTCGATGCCCGTCTAACTGGCAAAGGAACATAAGAGAACCTTTTGCTTTGGGCATCCCTATTCAAGAGATTGTATTCTAGCCCTCCATGGTAGCCCCCAGGCAAGATCACTTTGGTCAACTTCCGAAGAGTGGAGACATAAAAGATGGTTTTTACCTCCCGAGGGCTCCAAGTACCTCCTTAGAAGGTATGGCTGGACCCTCTGAACACACCCCTGTCACACCTTCTGAGAAGGTAGTTGGAGCCCTAGGGCATGTTGTCAAAACAGGTCATCTTCTTGGGGGCAGCACTGCAGCACGGCCTCACAAAAATGGAGCCTGGTCCGGTCACACTCCACCGTCAGTGCCATGCAGTCCGGGAGCGACGCTGTTCAGCGTCCACCATGGATCCAAAGGCTTCTTGCAAAGAACCATCTACCACACATGGGGCCTCTCAAGAACGCTTGAAGCAGAAGCCTCGGTCTTGAAGGTTCCAGCATGGCGGTCTTGAAAGGGGGCAGGTGACGGCAGGTGGAAGATGAAGTGGATTCACTCCCAGTTAGGCTCTTCAGTTCACTCCCAAAGGCTCCGAGTTAGGGGATCGATCGAGAAATCGACCAGAGGCACTATCATTTGCACTATGAGCTTCAGCAGGCCGGGCTGACACGACGCATCGGAGACCCGGAACTGATCGGTCGGCCGTCTGCCAGACTGATCGGTCGGCTCGGGACGATGCTTGGGAAGTCCCGGCCCCGGTGGTGGGACCTGGGGTCTGTTCGGACTAACCTCCAACCGCACTGCGTAAGACCAAGGGGTATCCGGGTGTCGAGACCGAGAATGAAAAGGTCTCAGACACTCCATGTCCCAGCCCTGCATAACTCGCATTCCTTTTTGACCATATATGCCAATCAGTTGGGGTGGTTTGGGAGGTCAATGGGGCGGCATATATGGCAGTCCCAGACAGGTCGTGTCTGGGGGCCAGTGGGATGGATGTCGGCCACTTCAGGACCAGGGGCGCCGCCTGCCCTGGTCCTCACTCCAAATGTTGGCTTGCTAGGGGTGTCCCTGGCATAAATCCATTGGATGCCCGGTTGTGTCGGGTTGTTGAAGTTGGCACCCTGGGTCAGGCCCAGAAGGAAGAGAAGAATTCTTTGGCCGAAGCTGCACGGCTTTCGAAAGAGGCGCCGGCGGTTCCTTCACCCCAGCCTGGGGTCACGGGCGGTTGATGGGTTTTGAAATGACGACCGGGTAGGCTTGTAGTAAACATCAAGACGGGAGGGGGTTTAATTGATCAAGAGATGACGCAATTAGACTGGGATTTAAGGAGAGATCACAGTTGCAGAGAGGTCAAAAATGAGGGGTAAATTAAATCTCCCTTTTCTTCGGTGCCTCCATCGAGTCCATGGAGTTAGTGGATGGTGTTTGGTCAGTTTCGGTGCACTTCCGAGCTCCGGTGGATGCACGACACACACGAGCACACGATCGTTTCGGTGGATCCAGCGACATGACGCCATCCACTGATGCGAAGCACATCAGTGACACGATGCCACGGCGATGTTTGTTTCACTACTTTGGAAGATCTTGGAAAACAAGGACTGGAGGAGGATGTTGAAGAACGGTGGCCTAAAAGTCTCCAAGATCGGAGTGATCTTCAAGAAGTCACCCGGTACCTGCTGATCACCATGGACCCCGCGACCGGGTGCAGTGGGTTGTAGAGCACGTCTTCCCATTGGCGTCCATGTTCAGGGCTCCATGCTTCGGGAATCGTCCAGGGGTGGTGCCAGGGGGGCCTTTCTGGGGCGGCACTACCGAGCCCCCACGGACTCGGCATGACCCGCCGAGCACCACCGGTGGAAGCGAAGGGGAAGCGGCAGAACCAGATCGTAGCCTTTCGGTGACCCGATCAACACCTATAGCTATATTATAATGTATTTTCGATTTATATATAGGAACAGATTAATTAATACAAAATATTATATCAAACGAGTGCCTGTTCGTGAAATTGGGACTTCTAGGTCTTCATTGGGTTTCTCTGTGATACCAACGGACTCCTTTCATACCATGTGAGGTGCAGATGGCCGAACGGGCGTCGAAGTGGCTGGAGAACGTCGAAGAGAACACCAAGATGCCGGGAGACACGGTTTCCGGGCTCTGGTGCCGTTTGTGTTTCTTTGTTCCCTAAGAATCCGAGCTCGGGCTCTCCATGGCAGGGGGGTCGGGCCCGACCTGACCCTCCATAGCAGGGGTCCGGGCCCGAACCAAACCCGGATTCTGTTTAAAGGCCCGGATTCTTAGGGTTGCTTTCATCGCCCCAGTCACAGGACGAACGGACGGGCGATGTTGGCAAGTGGCAAGACAGAGGCAACTTGACAGAGGCATAGAGGCATCATGTAGACTCTTGATTAATCAACCCTCCATATATGAAAAGGATTTCCAATTCACATGGGGGGATCATCAATCAAGAGTCTACATTAGGTCTTGAGCCCAGTCATTTATGTGAAGACATGCCAAGACTTTCTTCAACCACTGTTTTGGGCTCACATCTTTCTGACTTACGGACGGGCCGTTGATTGAATGGACGGATAGTGCTTGGGTAACTTCTTTGGCCAACCCAATTGCTGTAGATGTTGCTGGCGGTGGTTCGATGGTTCCCTGTCGTTGACTGTCGTCATTATACCTGGATCTTCCAACTGGGCGGAATACATCGGCATGCACCTCAAAAAACCCACCTGGAACATGGACCTGCAAGGAAAACGATGTTCCTCTACTTGGTCGACGTGGTTTTCAGGTTCCATGAGGTTCCAGACGTGGGGTCTCGGAACCGTCGGGCGTCGGTGTCGATCCAGGTGTAGCCCCCGAGACCTGCCAGGTCCACCCACCCCGACCTGCGCCACCGGGCCCCACCTAACCCCAGAGTCGGGTTCCGGCGGTGTCGGACCCGGTGGATCAGACCTCGAGAATGAACAAGCACCGGGGTGGCTCGAGAAGCCACCCAGTCACCCAGTGATACCCAGTGGATCCAGTTACGAATGCTTCGATCCCTGGGAGTGGAAGACTACAAAGAATATCAAAGAATGGTCTGACGACCAGCACCCTCCTGGCCAGGCTGTTAGTTGACTCATTGAGGGTTGTTGGACCCTAAGAGGTCTCAATTGGTGACCTGTCGGAGGGTCCTGGGAGGTGACGCAAGTCAAGGCATTTCCTGTATACATTCAGTTGGTCAAAATATGGTCGAGCTGGACTTCGAGGCTTATGTTATACTCTGGTCTATATACTATCGCATTTCACCAGTTCATCTCTCGCAGCTCCCGCAGCCGCTTTAATTGCGCGGGCCTCCCAAGCTGCGGAACAGCCATACTTGGAGGCTAAGCAGCTTACTAAGCGGTGAACAGACTCACCACACCTTGTGGGTGGTACCAGGTGGTACCTCTCAATGTCTCACCCTGCTCCCAGTTTCGCCCTAAACTGACGTTGAGACCCGGAGACCCAACGTCAGACCAACATCAACAAGCCTTCTATTCGATTAGATTTTGTGGATTACCTCCAACATTGTATTCACTGTCCAGGGTGCTATATTCTGCTAGACAACCCTATCGGTAACAGCCACAGGGTGAGAGTGACATGCAACTTACAACCGAGTCCGCGAAACAACGGCACGCGATAGGCCACTGAGTTTGGAAGAGCGCGAATGGGTCCATGCCTGCGGGGGCAGGAGAAGAACGCCGTCACCGAGCGTCGGAAGGTGTTTCTGATGTGTTGTCCTTCTGTTTCCGGCTTTATCTCAGTGATCTTCACATGGCCTCGACTTCAGCTGCCAGCCAGACCTTTCGCGCCCCGCATCACCCGGACCGAGAGCCGAACGGCGGCGCGTCGGCGAGGAACTTCGTGGCGCCCGCGTGGATCACCGTCACCCAGACGCAGGTGTTGGGACGGTTCTTCGCGAGCCGGTGGGCGAAAGACGGTGCACGGTGGGCTGCACGACGGCGAGCGAGCGAACGCGTTGAGTTGGGATGTGATTTTGGTCAGACGGACCCAATGAAGGTCTTCGATCTGAACATGGACATCTGACCATGAATGTGCGATTTTCGTGATTGACTGCTATATGCGATTGGAGGCACGACTTGATTGAGCTTCCTGGTGGGTCACGGGATAGAAGTTCGGTCCAACACCCGCTGAGGGTCCCTTTCGAAGGCCTCAAAGTGCCTGGCGCCAGGTCCAGCACTGCAAATGCCCGGAGGGTGGTGAGTTTACAGATCCACAGCACCCCAAAGGGTGGTGATTGGGAAGGCAGCTAGGAATTCTCAGCTGATTTCTCAGACCATCTCAGACCATTGCTTCCCTCCCAAACACGCAAACTTGCAAAATACTCGGAGTGGGGTCCAAACCCACGCGAAGGGCGGCTCCCCAACGGCTTCGTCGCCAGGTGGAGGCCCTCGTGCGTGCGCGGGAGCAACACCCGCGCCCGGTGGCGCTCTTCCCCGAGGTCGCGCGGCCACGACCGACGCGCTGGGGGAGTCGACGTCACGGGGAGGAGGCGGTGACCGGGATGGGTTTAGGGTGAAAGGGCGACGTCTGGTGGAGCTCAGAGAGGGACCACCCATGGATTTCACTGCGGTATTCTGTTGTAAATTGCAACCCCGCGGGAGCAAGTTCAATATAAAGATTGCAGATGTTTGGGGGCGAACCGGTGCGAGCCACCGCCGTGGTGCGGCATGTGCCTCTCAACTCAGTGTGTGCCAATACTTGCTTTGTTTGTTTCGCCACGGCGTTGCAGAGCATTTCAGCGCTGCAGCCGAGTGGTGAAGTCATGGTTCTTGACATCACGCCCAGAGTTGACAGGCAGGGAGCTGAAGCAGCAGATCGGCGCAGCGGAACTGGGGACGACCTGACTCGGAAGACGTCCGGTGTGGAGGTCGTTGTTGGAGACCAACTGCTGGCCGAAGCGCGGGTCTTGGATGCAGGAATTGCTGGAGAGACGGTGAGCGTGGTCTTCAAGCCAAATCGAGTGACCTATTCCAACAAAGAAGAGTTGCACAGCCTGGGCCGACACTGACCCAGACCTGTTGCTGGTGGTCGAACTCCCACGCGATGACACTCACATCCTTCTATCAGCCTTTTTGCGGTGCGAGAACTTGGCGAAGGTGATCATCCTCGAAGGAGTGACCCACATTGGAGAGCACGCCTTTCGGGAGTGCAGCTCTTTGGCGAGCTTGTCCATCCCCGAGTCAGTCACCCACATTGAAAATTACGCCTTCCACGGTTGCTCTTGCGATGCCTTTTCGGATTTGACGATACCCGCCTCCGTCACCTTCATTGGATTTGCCACCTTTCAGTGGTGCTGCCGTTTAGTGAACTTGAACATCCAGGCCTTTGTGACTCACATTGGGAATCGTGCCTTTGAGGATTGCCGCTGTTTGGTGAACTTAAGCATCTCTGATTCAGTGACCCACATTGGGGAGGGTGCCTTTGAGGGCTGCAGCTCGTTGGTGAACTTGACCCTCCCTGACTCGGTGACCGACGTTGGAAACTGGGCCTTTTGCAATTGCACGAGCTTGGCGAAAGTGACCATCCCTAACTCCCTGACCCACATTGGGATGGCAGCATTTCGTGATTGCGCCTCTTTGGTGAGCTTGACCATTCCAAACTCAGTGACCCACATTGGGGATCAGGCCTTTCGAGATTGCAGCTCTTTGGTGAGCTTGTCCGACCCACATTGGGGATTGTGTCTTTCATGGTTGCAGCATGTTGGCCAGTTGACCTCCTTGTGACGCGGGCGGCTGTCCATCTTTGGGACCAGGTCTGGGGCAGACGCCTTCTAGGCCTCTAGGCCTGTGGTCTGGACTCATCTAGACTCCAGGGCCGCTATGAGCTGCTGGTGTCTTCGAGGAATTTGGAGATCCTGCTTGCCTGAGGGTTGCTCGCTTGAGGCGTATCAAATACTCTCAAAGGCAGGTTCCAGGTGCTCATCCTTTTCGAATCCTTTTTCCATCTCCGTGATCGGTCCGGACGCCCCACTCAGCTGGGATGTCTGCACGCCCCAGGGCTGTTGGAGTGGAAGCGAGCGAGCGATCAGGTCGCCCCTTTAATGGAGAAACCGTCCGTGGACCGACCCTGAAACAAGTGGGAACGACCTGGATTTGGTCGCGTCGAAAGGTGTTCAGTAAAACCATGGTGGATCGGTCAAAGCCATGAGATATACTAGGACCCGACCCTTTGTTCAGGGTGTCTATATATATTATAATCTATAAATATAGTATATATACTGTACATATATATATAATAATCTATTTTATATATATATATATACACATTATATATATATATGTATATATACATATAGCCTCCGATTCAGGGTGATTCAGGGTGTCCATGAACCACAGGCGAAAGGAAGGTCCTGGCACCAGCAGTGAAAAAGGGGTGCTTAATGGAGATTAGGGGTGCCCATTATCCACTCACTTAGGGACTAAACACCACCCAACTCCATGTGACTCCTGGTATATAAATTAATTAACGTTACGTTCACGTCGCAAAACATTACTTGTGCTTGGAATCCGTGACCGGGTCACCTCACCGAGTCGTGCCCGCGTCGTCGGTCGTGGAGCAGAGGAGGGCTGACCCGGGTCGGCGCATGTCGGCGCGAGTACCTTCAAAGCGCCACCAAGTTTGGGGTCACTTACTGGTAGGATTGAGGTGCGGACGTCTACATTAAAGCATGACGAACACATGACGCGCGCCGCGGGCGGTTGCAACAATGGAGTTATCTTTTGGAAGTGGCTTTGAGGGTTTGTAACACCTGAACCTTGGGAGCCCAAAGCTTCCCCCAACAGAATTGGCAAGGGATACCCTCCCTCCAACAATCATGGAAGTGGACAACGGCCTCCTTATTCTCTACAAATAGGGGATTGTGCACTTTCATGTTTGCTTCAGGGAGTGTGCCAAATCCATTTCCTGAAAGCTGATCAGCAAACAACCCCCGGGCCTCGGTCCGAAGCATGCACTGCCCAAGGCGTCCCCGTCCAAGCAGCAACAAAAGCTTCGGGTGAAGCTGATCTCTGCCTTCGGTTGGGGCACCGAGAAGCAGGGCATGGGCATGGGAGGGGTTCTGATAGCCAGTAGCCAGCTGTTGGAGCAACTCGAATTTTCGGATTTTGTCCAGTCAGTTCCTTTGATAGCATGACATGAAGTGTCCCTCAAAAGAATTCTCTCCACCTGCCGGGTTAACCTGGCTATGAGAAACAAACTTCGAAAAGCACATTCCCGCACCATCTATGTATGGAATAGTGCACATATGTAATCCTGTGTACGCATTTACCCCTAGTCATGACTCATGACTCATGACACTTTTGTAAGTAACTTATATATTCGATAGTCATCGTTGGACCATGTGTCAGGTTTGAGCATGTTTGAGATTGCATGGGTTTGACCTGGCAGCAAGCTAATGCTCCGACAGGCCACTGGAAATTAGTTGAACTGATAGGCAGCATGGCTAAATGAGCCCCAGTGGCATCTAATCTGACACCTTCCAACCTAAAGCGCCTTCTTTCGTGCTGCCCTCGCTTCCCAGTGTCCTGATCAATTGCGCCAGAAGGAATAGGAAGGAACTGAAAAACGCATGTGCAATCCCGTTACCGTGTTCCCCGGTGGCGTTGCATGCAAGTTGTGACTGTGCTTGTGGATGAGGGCTCTATGACCAGAAAGGCATGGAAGAGAACGCACGGATGGACAGCCGAAAGCTTTTGACCAATGATGGCGCCATGGAACATGTTGTGTCCCTTACCTCTTGAGCAAGCTAATCCTTTTCATGTCTAATGATGAGAATGACTAGTGCCAGTAGTATACCGTATACACTGGAAATTTAACATGGAACCTGAAAACCACTGGGTTGTAGAGGAAAATCGTCTTCCAGTCTGGTCCATCTCTTCAGGTTCCATGTTACTTTTCCCGGGTGTATTACCGATGTTTTGGGTTGGAGTTCTACTTCGGACCCCCTGCGAGGTGCCCACCAGCTGCTTCCGGGCTAGGGGTCACCTGGCTGGATATCTTCACACCACACTACTTACAGGTCTCCAGACGGGGCACCCCGACAGGACCCAGGAGGCGCTAGGTAGATTGTAAACATATCATGCTTTCCATCATGCACCAACAAGGGAAGAACTCTTCCCTGGCCCAAGAGGTCCCCCTCCAAGACGCTCCGGCGCTACCAACTATGTGGCCCACGGAATGGGCAGCCGACTGGGCCGCCTCCGCTCGGCTCCTTGTCCCATCCCGTGGTGGAATCCCCGGAGTTCCAAGGTCTGGCCACCAGCACCATGAGTGGAGTCACGTGCTGCGCTCGTCACCGCGGAGCGCTCCGCGTCTCGAGTCGTCTCGAGAGGGTCGTTGGGATCGAGTTCGGGGAGCCGCCGAGGGGTGGGGGGGGTTGTCCATGCCACAGCCGAGCCAAGGAGCTTGAGAAGAAGAACATGTGGGCGCCGGCGCCCACCCTGAAACATAGGAAGATTAGGAAGGCACCTCAGTTGGACCCCTCTGAAGAGTGAACATATATTATGTATAGACTCAAAGTTCAACATGTGGCCGTTTAGCAAGTTAAGTTTAACCCCAGGCTGCCGGTTTCCCATTTGTGTTCTGAGTTTCAATCGGCAGATCATGATCTTTCTGATTCATCTTCCTGCACACGAACCGACATTCCAAACCGTGCCGCCGACCTCTTTCCCAGGAAAACAACACCTTCCGAAGCAGACGCCTCTCGTCTTCTCGAGAGCGTCGTCCCAGCGTCGACTCCCATCCACTACCCGAGCCGCCGCCATGCAGGGCAGCACGGGGGGCAGGTACTGCACCTGTGAGATCCCTCTGAAGAAGGAGTCCAAGCTCTTGACCGTCCCTCGGCTTCTGGGCGTTCGCTCCGAATAGACGGGCAGTGCCAGCTCGCTGTAAAAGGAGACCAGTGGGGAGGGCTGCTGGGATCCAGACCGAAGTCAGCAAGGATATGGAAGGATAAATGGTTGGTAAAATCTTCCAAATCTACGAGCTACGAAAGCCTGAGGTTTTGGAGGCCTCTTGAGTCAGTATTTAGTAGGTGGCCTTCATATGGGGTTCCCTTTATGCGATGGATTTGGCACAAATTGCTGATCACCCGATGGAAGCCAACAAGGAGAGTTAGAGCAGGATAGTCCGAGCACGTCTGAGCCTTGGGTGATGGGATGCATGTGTGAATATGGGTGTGGAGTTGAATAGGAGGCCCCCCTGGCCCAACGGGTAGACTGGTTCATTTCCATATGATATTTTCATGATCTTTCCAGGCCTTCCCTGACTCGACTCGATTTTACCACCCCGAGATGTTCATCCACGACCATGGTTCAACGGCATTATCATTGTTCATCGACCATGTGACATGGTGGGGAGATGGGACATCTCCTGGCCTGATCCCTCAAATCCCAGCATGGTCGAAGTTTGCTCGACCATGACTGTCATGCCCTTTGGAATCCTACACGTGCTCCCGCATGACGGTTCCTCCGTGCGCTCAGGACCCCGTGGCGCTGGATTCGAACCCCGAGCCCGGCCCTCGAGTTTCTGACGAACGCGGCCACTGTGGAACCACATCCCTGGAGACGATCCCATGGACCTTGAGAATGCACCGCACGCACCCTGAGAATTCACCCGCGGTTTCGACCATCTTAGAATTGTCCTGTACTGTAGCACCCAGTGCTTGAAGGGGGTGCAGGTTAATCTGCAGAAGGGTATGCTTCAATCTCAGTGTTTGGTTAGAAGAAGCCCAGTGAACAGGCACTGATATTTTCAGCGTCTCGGCGGCTCCAGATATGGCAGGATTTCTCCACTCAACACGCAGACACTCCATGAGGCTATTTACCGATCGGACCAGGGGTGGTTGAAAAGGGGTCCATGTGGGGCATCTTTATACAGGTCATTGTGGAAGCAGGAAGTGAACTAAAGAGTTATGCAACGCTAGTTGGACCAAGGTCATGGTCAATGGTATATATTCCCCCTTCAACTTTGTCGTATATTCCAGTCCCATTTGTCATTGCCGTGTTTGGAACAGTGTGAGAATCAGAATCAGGGTTCGACTTGAAGAACCACATCTGTCCACGTCCTCGTGGGATGTAACCTTCCCCGAAAGTTCCAAGCACCATTGATTCAATAGCCTGTACCAAACGACCATTGTTTTACTAAGGACTTTACACTGCAAAACCAGGTCCACCATTTGTTTAAAGGTCTTGAATCTTAAACTTCCAGGGCATCCTCTAGGTCCTAAGGTTTATTCACAGTTCTCTTCTTTGCTTCTGCAGACTTTGCTTGTCAGATTGTCGTGCCCTGCCCGTGCGTGCGGTGCGCCAGCGAGTCCGCGTGCGTCGAGGTGGCGCTTCAGCCGGACGGTGAAAGGCACCGGCGGAATGGCGGTGGCGCACTGGAGTCGGAGTTGGCGCACTGGACGCTACGAACGGAGCAAGGACGCTACGAACGGGGCTCCTGGCCTTACTACTAGGAGCAAGAAGCTACTAGGAGCAAAGGGCATCGCTACTAGGAGCAAGGACGCTAGTAGGTTTTTCTATTTTTGTTTGAACAGTTTTGTTGGTGGGGTTTTGGCATGTGGTAAGAAGACATGCTCATCTCGGTGTTTTGCGCCTGATTGAGCCCAGCTCTCAATAGATGACGTAAAAAGAAAGACACACTCACACACTGAGAAGCACTCACTTGGGTAGTGTTTGTGTATAAAAGCAGTCAGACCCCCTTAGAAGGTTCTCACTATTTCGGGCAAAAAGGTTCGATTGTTCAGGCAACTCCGATCTCTCAAGAGTCGGATTTGGGGGGAGGCCTGGTGAGGATGAACAAGAGGTAGTGGTGTTCTGATGGAGTTTGGGTCTACATCATTCTACATCTACAAAATATCGTCATATCTTAGATGTCATGACAGTCTAAAGATCATTCAGATACCGGTAACGTCTGCAGAGTGGTCTATCGCCTGGGCACACGAACGTAACTCATGCATTTCGCTCCAAACGCACGTCACGAACATCCATGGACCGTTCGGACCATGGACCTCTCAGGAATCGATTCGTTCGTTGAGCGATTCGGACCAGGCAGGCCACTGCAGTCCGCTTTGGGAGACGATGGGGTCCCGAGGCCGTTCGCTCCGGGCGCCACGGCGTTGGCGCGGCTCGTCTTCGTGAGGCTATGCTCCGGGCGATGCGCTCGTCATGGAGGTCTATAGCCGCGATCAGGAGGAAGGGATGACGTCGGGGCGCCACGGCGGGCAGACCGGACCTGCCCGGGCTTTTAACGAGTGTCGAGTGTGAAACCTCATCCAGCTTGGCGAAGACCCGCATTTCCGGACGGTTTCGACCATGTTACGACCAACCCGACGGTGGTTTGGGAGGTCTATGGGGTCCTTTGGGGGTTTACTAGCTAGGGGGTTATCTGGGTTTTCTTCATGTTCTGAGAATCAGGAACGGACCCATACGGACCCTCAAAGAAGCGATCACCAACTCAGGAGAACACAGTTTCCACCAACTCGTGGCACCATTTGACCATGGCATTTGGAGGATTTTTGGAGGTGCAGTAAAGTAGTACTATATAGGCCATATAAGGATATATATATATTATATATATAAGGCCCATTCATTTCGAGATGGTGCTTTTTCCTTTTACCCCAAGAATCCGGGCCCTGAAAAAGATAGGGCTTTGCTTCGGCCGCGGACCCCGGACTGCTCGAGGTCGGGTCCGACTGTGAAGAGTCCAGCCCGAGCTCGGATTCTTGGGGCAGGCTAGGTATAAAACCCTTTTATACCTAGCACTGACACAGTCTGGGTGCCCTGGAGTAGGAGACCTGTTTACGTAGGGTAGGGTTGCACTGGTTGCATAGGGCACGCATTTGGTGTCTGTATTTTCCGCGTTTTACACCGAGACACCGTTACACCGATTGATGCATCGGCATGCCCATTGGTGACCCATTTTTCAGCACCTGGTAGACACACTCATATTTCTTACGAGTCTCGTCCAGTCCTGTACTCCCACACTCCGAGTCCAAGCCAAGCTGAGGCCACGTGCGGACCAGCTGCTTGGCCGTGCCTTCCTGCCCGGTGAGAAGTTCTACCCCAACGGCCCGGAGACACGATGCGCCGGCCCGTCGCTGGCGTGCGAAGGGCACCAGCGCTCATTTCATTTGAAGATTTGGGAACTTCGTGCCGATGAGTTCCCAGTTGCTACATGAAGATGCTTTTCCACAAGCTTTCCGTGCTTCGTTGAAGAGGTGGAACCAGCCCCGCACATGTATTTCCAGAAGGTTTGAGAGTTTTTAGAGACGTTTTTTGTGGGTTTGGGCAGGCTATTTTCATGGTTATATGCTTTTTGTGTGCCAGAAACCTTACACCTCGCGGTGGGTGTCAGAATTTGCACCCAAGCATTTCAGAGTAGATGGCACGGGGAGCCCCGAAAGAGGTGTAGTAGTTGGGGCATTTTATGCCATCGACCGATCTACCTTCATTCTGTAAGCAGAAAGAAGCAACACAGGATGTTCTGGGGATGAACTAACTCCGGTGGATGAGGAATGAACCTTTGCTTCAGATGCACCCAAACACCTCCGGTCCTTGTCTCGCCTCACCAACGGTCTCCTGTTCAGCTCCTCCACTTGGATGCGTCTTCGCTTCGAGGCTTTGATGGTTTGCTCAACCTCACGCTGGGCCCTCGCACCGATGCCCCAGTGTCACGAGCAGAGTGGTTCCTTTTTTTGGGGGGGGAACAGAGGGACAGACGTCGGAGGGGGTTGGTATGAGATGCGACGGAAAACACATGATATTGTAATATATTGAATTAATTAATGTACTGATATATTTTGTGATGTATTTACACATGCCTGCTGTATGTCAAAGAAGCAGAAATAGCTAGCAGGCGTTTCACATCCTATTACAAATATGTTGTTGATTTTTTTACATGAGTTTGGATGCCAGGAAGTTGTGGGGTGCCATTTGGATGGAATATCTGTTGCTTTGGCAGATCCAACCCCTAGAGTGGTCATCACCAGCGCTGGTCATCACAAGGTGTTGCTGGCCAATTTTTCATGCCAGGGGCCCCACAAACCATCATCAAGCCTCAACCAATGCATGGCACCCACACCACATGTTGGTGACCCCACAAAACACATGGCACCCATTGGATGGTCCTGGCATCCAAGCCTTTGTTCATGAGCCGCTGGTGCCTGGATCCCGCCATCTCACCATCTCCGCCCAGGCCCAACTGGGGCCACGTTGCGAGCCGGGGTGGCCCGGGGAAGTCCGAGCAGAGGTCGAGGCGTTTCTTTTCGTTCGGCAGACGCCGATGGCGTCCAGAGCTTGGTGAAGGGAGGCCCCGAGTGGTCGAAAGGGGTCGAAAAGGGACATGTTTTGGGCCATCAGCACCCAGTTCGGGAGGTTTGTTGGACTATATACCTTTTGCATGGATGATTTAGAGGGCGTCTAGAAGAATTGCGATTGAGATCAATTCGATCTATTTTGGGAGAAGCATTTGGGACCCATCTCTTCTCCATTACGTGCAGATGTTGTAGCATCTCAGAAGTGACGCCAAAACAGCTCTCTGAACCAGCCTGGATAGTCCAGTTCGACTATTTGTGGCACTGCCGCGAAGTAAAGGCAATTCCTTTTCGAGCCACCTGCTATATAAGAACATCTTCTAACCTGAATTCCCACTCTGGATGTTTTGGACCACCATCTTCTCCGCACTGCGTCCACCCGGCCGTCGGCCGGGCGTCCTCCGTTTGAGGTGACTGCCTTGGTGTTGGACTGAGTCGGCAGCCACCGGAGCCGTAGCGATGTCGGACGTCTGACGAATGAGAGGACGTCACCCGACGAATGACAGAGGTGGGTCATGACCCGAACGGTTCGACTATCCCGAGTTCGGTACTCCAGGGGTCCGAACGTTCAGGTCACTCAACCTCTCTTGGAATGACATGTCAGAGTGTTTTGTTCAATTCAACTGGGGGTGGTTTACGAAGCAAGAGTCCATGGATGGAACTGTTTGAACCACCTTTCTGAACCTATCTGGGCCATTGGAGGGCCGGAGGGGTGCCTAAGACAAGACACCCCTCAACATGTCTAAGACACCCCTTATCATCCCTTATCTAGGGGGGCCCTGGTAAGGGTTATTTTTTCTAAATCATGGTTTTATGTATAGGTCCGAGCCAATGAAGGTGATTCAGGCGGGATTGGTCCGAACAAGCGGGGCGTACCTCTCCGCTTGTTGGCAGCAAAGTGACTGCCGGTCGTCAGCTAATGTCGAGCCAATCCGTCGTGCCAGCGCAGCGAAAGAAGTCGCGGCCATTGGGACCGTCCGGCCATTGGGGCGCGGAGCACGCGGGTGCTGCGATGTGCAGAAAATCGATGAGTTGGAATGCTTTGTTCTTGCTCTTGGGACCAGTCCAGTATTCAATCCTCAACCCAAAAGGAACCAATGGGCTTTTGAACTTCTCGCCGAACCGAGAGCAAGGCGAACTACCCTCCCGCGTGTCGACGATATTGTTTGCAATACACGCATGACGCGCAGCATGTGCCCAATACATGATGTGAAAGAGTCCCAGATCCCAATCCGTCGGTCTGTGAGCCATGATGAAGCTAATTTCAGCGCTGCAGCCGAGTGGTGAAGTCATGTTTTTGAAGTCACACCAGAGACAACAGGCTGGGCACTCAAGCAGGAGATCAAGGAGGGACAGCCTTGGGACGAGCTCACTCGCAGCACTACAAGTGTGGGGATCATTGTCGGAAACAACCACTTGCTGGCGAACGATGTAAAGGTATTGGACGCTGGAATTTCTGAAGATACTGTTGTGAGTGTTGTCTTCAAGCCAAATGTAGTGATATGCTCCAACCAAGATGCGATCGCCAGTCTCGGCGGCATCGTCGACCCAGAACTATTGCTTGTGGTCGAAATTCCGCCTGATGAAACAGAAATTGGCAAAGGAGCTTTTCAGGGGTGCCAAACATTGGCCAAAGTGACCATTCCGGAGTCGGTGACCCACATTGGCGACGATGCCTTTGGGGATTGCAGATCTTTGTCAGACTTGACCATCCCGAACTCAGTGACCCACATCGGGAATTATGCTTTTCAATACTGCAGCTCTTTGGAGAGCTTGACCATCCCAGACTCAGTGACCCACATTGAAGAAGGTGCCTTTTGTGGTTGCAGCTCTTTGGTTGACTTGACCATCCCGGACTCAGTGACCCACA